TTATATTGTAAGGAAAATTGACAATACGATGTTTGTCAATATATTGACATATGTAATGGGCGCTTTTAGCATTCTGTGTCCTATCCAAGGGGGGGAGGTGGCTGTCAAACACGAACAATCGTCGCCTACCTCGCATAACTGGTTCCAAACGTAAACAAGCCATAAGAAACCTACAGCGTTTGTTTACGTTTGGAACCAGTTTCATACAAGATGATCAGTAGGCTGATTTGACAGCACGTCCCCCCCCAGGTCCTATCCCGTAGCACGTAAAAACGTCATTACTTTTCAGCTGCGTACCAGGCTTTTTCTGTCAAACGTCAGTGTTAACGTTTGTTTTTGTAAACTGGCTCGGGTTGAGGTTCGCACTGACAATAAGCACGGGTTCACACGGGTTCCAACCTGGATAATAAACAAATTCGCTAATAGTGATACAGCTTTGTCGAGGAAATCTCGGGGGGAGGGGATACGGTTTTCACGCAGAAAAAACTATCGTCGTAACAAAAAATATTTGAGGTAAATTTAAACGTAAACTCAGTTTGTTCTGGCCACAAACATAAATTAGGTTGATTTCAAACGTATTCCATGTTTAAAGTCATGTGAAATCAATGTTTAAAATAAAAATAATGTTACGTTTATTTAAAAAATATTCGTGCTGAAGATAAACGTATTTATTTTTGTTTGGTTTGACAGCTGTGCGAACAATAATAAATATGTTTATTTTAAACATGCTTCTCATGTTTAAAATAAACATACATATTTTGGAATTATTTGAGTATTTGAGTGCTGGGTAAAGCAAAATAAAACGGAAAGAAATGAAAAAAAAAAGATCCTCGGGCAGGGCATCTTAATTCCTGCTCTTTTCGGGTGCGATTAAGGGTGACCTGTGGGTATTGGGGTCCTGGTCCGGAATGCGAGGACCCGTCGGGGTGGGTGTCCGGGGGTTCCAGTTCAGTGGAACCGGTGCAAATGTGTGTTATTAGCGTCGTTTTGCCGTTTCTGCCTCGGTTTCTGTCACTGGTCCTCATACCGGTTTCTTTCCGTGTTCGATATCGGAGGAGGATCCGGAATGGATTCGGAATGGATGACCGTTTTCTGTTGAGGTTGAGCAAAGCTGGGGCAACTTTTTCCAAATGTAACAAGAAGGAAATAAAAAGGCATGACACGCTAGGGGAAGTACAACTTGATCTGAAGTAATATTTGGTGTAAAAATTGCTCAAATTGGTAATTATTATAATTTTTAGTATAAATATCAATGATATTAACTGTCAAGCAGACAGCTTCAAAGTAAAAAATAAAATAACAGTGTAACTTTTTACGCATACACTCAATGACGTTTCACCGTTGTTGTTTATGTTTACTGCAGCTTTCATTTTTGCCTAGATTTTCATTTTCGATAGCTCTGATCGATTTCGACTTCGACTTTTCATGATAAAAACGGTAATGGACGTTCTCCCAACAGCAAATTTTGCCAGTTGCAGGCTCATGGCAAATCGAGTGTAATACGACCACGGAGCCATCACTCTGGGACTCCGTTTACAGGGGAGACGTAGTCAGTCGATTCCCGTTCCATTGGAGGACAGCACATTGGTTCGCAGACGATGAAGAATTCGTGGAAATTAATGATTATTTTCTGGGACAGAAGTGCGACCGATTATGTGCACTGAGATCAGCTAACAAATAATGCCGAATTTTTTAGAACAAGGATCGGATTTTGGTGGTGGTGGCCAGCAAGATCATCGAAGAATGACTTGCATCTGGTGTGAAATCCATTTTTTATTAAACGAATGTCAAATGTACACTTCAAACCATAAATAGTCAAAAACAAAAAAACAACTGTCAGACTAAGTATAAGATTCGAAAATATCACACATATTAAAATATTTAATATTTCCACTATCGATATTGATGCTGATAATTGGTCCTGTCCTTCCCCTAGATGACACGCTACAAACCGTTTACCCAAATCCTATATTGTTGAAATAAACATGCTTTTGAATTTAATTCAAACATAAATATTTTTGTTTTAAACATGCTTTCAATTTACTTTGAATAATTGATGAATCTACGTTACGGTCGGCCAGCAGATGGAAATGATGTGAAAATGATAATGACGTTTTGCTAGCTGTCAAATCATATTGAATATTTTTTAGTACATCATCACTTTTGTGGTTTTGGATTTCAAACCTAGGTGTCGCATGCACTGGTGCAGTTTCGCGTAGATTCATCAATTGGCGTCTTGCAGTGAAACTTTTCCAAGCTTTCGCCACCTACATTACGAAGTGAGAACTACTAGAAGGAGGATAGTTTCCAAATTCTCCAAGTAAAACAGACGATTTTTGGGGCAAATTGGTACATAAAGAAAAACTAATAATTTCCAGTGGAAACTTTTGCTTGAATCGTGTAAGAAAACGTGTTTGCAAACTAACTGTTGTAACTATTTCGGTATGGATCGGAGATGTTTTCATGGAATATTATGCATAACAAATTTGCACCCGCAGGTAGAGGTTACCTCCTGCGCAGCTGCATTTTTCGGAAAATGGTGAATATGTGCGATTTCCACTAGGAAGAAAGTGGAAATTAAGTGAATTTACATAGGAAAGATTGTATCATGCTGGTGATAATGGAGAAATGGTTGTATAGGACGCCAATTTTCAATAAATGTTCATTTTGGCCTTTTTTAGGTACACATATTGATACTCACAATTTTCGGCGGAAAACGCAATGGAACTTGATTTACTCAACACGCATCATACTATAAAGTGGTGCTCGATGGTTTATAAAGTGTTAACAAGATGACAAATCATCTTTATTTTGAGTAATTGAGCAATTTACTTCTGTTTACATCATACGTACGATGCAGCATTGATGGAGCCGTGAAATAAAATGAATATATCTTATGAAAGTTCATCTGGAAAAGTCAAAGATGCACATCAGTCTGATCGCGAAAACATTTTCTTCTTCAATTCGAATGTTTTATTAGAAGGATTTTACGCAGGCTTGAAGAAAATTATGATTTAATGCAAATTTTCACGAATTTTATATGCAGTCTGTCAACATTATCATCATCATGCAGTGGCGACATCTGCGTCGAGCTTTTACGGCAATCTTCCAATTCATATGTTTAGAGTATAAACATTTATATTTTTGTTTTAAATGAACAAAATTCGTATCCGTGTTACACAGATAAAAAATACTACCCAAAATTTGAGTTCTTTTTGAGTTCAGTCTCTCACTTGCACTCGTTATAGTTGTCAAAAATGAACGAGAGATTCGAACCAACGATATACTTCAGCTCCTCGTTCAGCCCAATAAGTTACCTCTGAGTAAATTGCATATTCTCAAATTTACGTGAATTAAACATAACTTTCGATAGTATATGTAGAATATACTTAAGAGTGAGTATTTTTTTGCTTTTGTTAAATGGAAACTACTATACACGATTTACTCAAATTTGGGTTATTGGGCAAAACCCGAGAATTGCTGGAAAAGTACTTAATTTTGGATAGTTTTTCATCTCCATGTAGAGCAAATTGTAAAAAAAACTCTGTCGCTGTCTCACACGGTAACTCGCAACAACTCAAAATTGAGTCGATTATGCTAATTTCAGCGAGAAGTATGGCTACTCAGAAGTGAATAGCGCACTTGTACCAACAATCAATACGAAACTAATGATTTTAAATTGGCTCACTACTTGACTAGCCTATTGGTCCCAAGCAAACGATTAACGTACCCCATTCTAGTCGAAATTCTAGTACTACGCAATGTTTGTTTTGATTGGCTATGAAAGTTTGACAGATAAAATGAGGGGTTATAGGTTTTTCCTATGTTTCGAGGGGTGAATCGATTAGCTTGGGACCGAAGAGAGTACCAGAGCTGAGCCAAAAAGTTGAGCATGTTATTTCGGGACCTTCTAGTCTTAGAGTTACCTCTATGCTTGTACCATAGAGGTAACTCTAAGACTACTGGGTCCCGAAGAAAATCATTATTATTTTTGGCTCACTCAGTACCAGAACAACGGTCCCAAGCAGTCCCAAGCTATTTCACTCACCCCTGCATGTTCTGCATGAATCCACACACCCCTGATGTTATCTGTCAAACTTTCATAGCGAATCAAAACAAACATAGTGTAGTAATAGAATTTCAACTAGAATAGGGTACGTTAATCGTTTGCTTGGGACCAATAGGCTACTAAAGTGGTGAGCCAATTTAAAATCGTTAGTTTCGTATTGATTGTTGCTTGTACTCACTTTTGAGCAGACGACGTTCTCGCACAGAGTGAGTCAAAACCACCCTGTGATATTTTCGCCCGGGAATTTAAAAAAAATTGTTTGATAAAAAATGGAAAATACCTGCTCCAGATTCATTTATCTGGAGCTGAAGATGACTGAAAATCGTCTCCGCATGCAGTTCCTACTTACCATAATACATGTTGGTCAGTGTTCCCTAATCAAAATGTTATGGTTAATTTGCTTAATGACGTGTTCGGGGTATCATCCAAACAATTTGTGGAATAGTTTAATCGTTCGTTTATGGTATTTTTTATAAGGGGTTATACAATAATTTAACCATTTCTTAGAGCGTTTGCTCCGACACGTCTGGCATTTTTTCTAAGTCCCGGATTTGGCTGACTGAGTGGGTTTTACTCAGTTATACATTTCCCGTTTACTCATATTTTGACTACCCAATAGGCCGTATGAATAAAAAGAGTTGGCTTTACTTTCCCGTGCTTTTACAAGAAAAGTAAAGTAAATGCTTTTATTCATACGACCTAATGCATCAGACGAAATTGAGACGATCGACTCACCCGGTGAGCAAGCTGAAGTAAGCGTGCATACAAAAATCCAACATGGCTGAGTCATGAATTAGAATGCCTATATGTAGTTACCTTGGTATATACTATTACCCTATAGTTGAAATATTTCACTGCTGGTTTGTGTGGTACCCATAGTTCCACTCTGGAAATCGAACTGTCGAATTCACGTGCTTGTTGTTATTGTTTACCGTTTGTTATTCGCGATGTTTCGGTATTTTCCCGTACATTCATATTATCCCAGTTTTCAGTAGTTATTTCCTACATTTTACGTTAAACAAGTAACAAAATGCGAGAGACCATTCCAATAAACCACCAAATCACGTCTGATAGTAGGCAACCATTTATGGCTGCACAAATCTGCGAAATATCACCCGCATTGCTTGTGGGTGAGTTGAAAAGTGAAGCAAGTTTTTCCCCCGGTGTTCCGGTTATTTGCCGATTGTCCGACAGTAAGCTGTTTCTGTGCCGATTGTTTGCACCATCAAGACATTTAAAAGCGAGTACAATTTGCTATGTAGATGAAACGGTTCAGTTGATCGAGGATGCTATTGAAAAGGAGGCGATCGAAGGGGACGTTCCTCGGGTTAAGGAACTGGAAGTGATCAGAGAAGAATCGTGTTACTTCGAAGAGGTCAATGTTGAACTAATGGTAGACTGTTCGAAATTGGATTTGGAATTGCTGCGTGATCGAGACAGTTTATCGTCGCTTGTAAAGGATCTTATGCGCTCGCTTTTTGTGTGCAAACGTTGTTTGGTTAAAACGGACGATAGCTTCAATTGTGGAATCGTAGGAATTCGAATACATGAAACCGTTGGGAAGCACAGTTTTGGTTTCACCGATACTGACACTACAATAGTAATAGGTGAAATTTGCTTCAATACTGTTCGGAGTAAAACGTTAGGGGGTTTATCGGATGTGAAGCAATGCCTAGTGAAAGCCTTGGAACGAGCTTCAGATAATCTGCTACTGGCTGGTCCACCTGGTTCGGGAAAGTATTCGCTCGTCGCCGAACTGGCTCGTGAAAGGAACTATCCAGTTTTCGAAATACGCGGATTAGATTTCATAAAATCTCACCCAGGGGAAACGGAACTGGAGTTGCGGACGATATTCGAACGGTTGGAAAAATTCAACAAATTGTTTCTACGATCGAGTGTAACAATTCTTTTGGTGAAGGACGTAGATACCCTCTGCCCCAAATTGAATAATAGGAAGGGTGAGGACGTGTCGAATATCTCCAGGATAGCGTCCCAATTTACAACCTTACTGGATCGTTATCACGGCGTCGAGAGTGGAATTCTTGTGATTGGAACCACCTCCAATATCGAAAGCCTTGACTCAAAAGTTCGACGACCTGGGAGACTGGGAACGGAGATATTCGTTCGGATGCCTTCCGAGCTCCAGAGGGGTGAAATCATGGCGGCTATGCTGAGAAGGACGAGTTTAGTGTTGGAACAGTCGGTACTAGACGACATTATTAGAAGGACTCCGGGTTACGTTGGAGCAGATTTGGAGCTTCTTGTCTATACGATTCATAGGACCTTGAGGAGACATTCTGCTCAGGACGTCTCGTCAACAGTAGAAGAATGCCTGATCAAAATTCGTCCTACATCGCTTCGGAACTCGATCGGTCTCATCAGTGGGTTGAATCAAACGCTTGATTTAATAGGAGGAATGGATGAGCTGAAAAAGACTCTTCGGGTATCAGTTCTGGGACCGCTTCGGCACCCAGAAGCCTTCCGACGATTCGGCATGAGTCCTCTGAAAGGAATCCTACTCTACGGGCCACCAGGTTGTGCCAAGACAACGATCGCCAAATGTCTTGCAGCAGAATCCCGAATGACCTTCGTGTCAGTGTCGGCTGCGGAAGTGTACTCGCCCTACGTGGGAGATTCGGAGAAGTTGATAGCCAGATTATTCAACCAAGCTCGGCTGAGTGCTCCGGCGGTAATTTTTCTCGACGAAATCGATTCTCTCGTAGGCAATAGAGGAATGCAAGGCGTTCGGACGAACGACGTTCACATTCGAGTGTTGTCCACTCTACTGACGGAGATGGACGGAATCGGAACGAGCGTCCAGTCTGTGATTGGCAGTAGTGATGATTCGAAGAATATTCTGGTCATTGCTGCCACAAACCGTCCGGATATGATCGACGATGCGCTGCTACGACCGGGACGGTTGACGAAGTTGATCCACGTTCCAGCACCGGACAAGACAGCGAGGTTTGAAATTTTGAAGAAAATATCGGAAAAAGTTCCGTTTGCCCATGACGTCGATTTGAGTGAGTTGGCCAAACAGACCCAGCGCTACTCAGGGGCTGATTTGCAAAATCTTTGCTCTCAGGTTTGCACTCTTTTTTGTTTATTACAATGGCTATTACTTAAATTATTTAAATTACAGGCCGCCTTGCATGCTGCTACCTTGGACGAAGATGTAATAGAAGTCAACATGGCTCACTTCCTGCATATCCTTAAGGAAAATAGACCCTCCTTGACCAGGAAGCAAATCGAGTGGTACACTGAATACGAATTAAAGCGCAGAATAGTATGAAATTCCGAAACTGACGCAATCGTTTTCTTTTTTGGTCAATGATGACGCTGCTTCTTCTGGTGAGCGGAAGAAATACTTCTCTTCAAATACCTATATTTAATGCAAGTAGGTGCTTCTCTTTTATCTCTCTTCGTTAGAACATAGTGTTCTACACGGGTCATGTCTTGTACCTGCTTTTGGACATACAAAGAAGAAATCGGCGGTTGGCTCCGGAATGCATGTTTTAATTTTCTGCCAAACAGCTCGCAAATTCCGTTGCAGTTGGTCCGACCAGAGATAAGGGTTTTTTTTTTCATTCCAACACGTGGTGTCTTTGGGTGAGATGCAGGCGGTGGTTGTCGATATTACAACAGTCTCGTTTTTAATTGATTGGATTTCTAATTTTGGAGCATAAATAAATGACATAGCAAATGTTTGGCCCCTTCTTCATATGGTGACAGCGCCGGTGGTTGAGTGGTAAACGTGACTGCTTTCTCATCTCAGTTCAACCTAAACAATGCATTAGGTCCTAAGTAACATTCTCCATGTTAAGACATTCCCAGCTATTTTCAGCTCATAGATCGATGAAAGAAGCTATCTATCTTCTAATACGACAAACACGACAAGAAACGGTTCTGTTCCAAAGTTATCTTTAATAGGGGAGATGTTGGTAAAATGCCCATGCAAAGGAAGATCCCCGTTTAATCTACAAAGTGAATTGATATTTAAGTGCAATACCATCTATTTGTTAGAGGTTTCGAATCGAAGCAACCGGCGTGTACAATTGTAACTATTGAACCACAGAAATAAATTTAGTCTCTAGTCATCCGCCAATCAGTTCATGGGATTCTCTGCTTGATCGTCAAGCAGTTCAGCTCGGTGTTAGCTCGCTCTCTCGAGTTGTTTGAAAAGTTCGTGGCGATAGTGTTCGCGCTCTCTCTTTCGCGGTTTGTCGTGCGTGTGTGTGTGCCCCGAAATGGGGAAGCATCGGTCGCGAAGCCCGGCGAAGGTCCAGAACCCCGGTGAAGGAAACTCCGGTGTGCCTACCTCGAACAGGTTTGCTGTTCTCCCCATGGATGGGAATATCCAGCCAGCTGTGTTGGAAAAACGCAGCAAAAAGAGGAAGAAGAATCGAGGCCAGTCCGATGTCACTGCGACGAACGCCAGCGACATCGGTGATTTCGGCTACGCCATCGGCAACGAAAATTCTGCCGGCCCGAGTGCGGCAAAACTGAAGCTACCTCCATTGGTAGTGAAAAATGCCCATCTTAATGAGCTCATCGCAGATCTAGCGACGCTGGGCGTTAAAGCCGAATACAAGTTGGGCAGAGTCGGCACCAAGGTGGTGCTCCGTACCAAAGCGGAGTATGACTTGGTCGTCGCCCACCTGAGGTCTTCCGAGGTGGAATTATTCACACACGACATTCCCGGTGAGAAGCCATTCAAGGTCGCATTAGGGGCCTACCAAACTTCGACCCGAAGTTTATCGAAGCTGAAATCAGAGACCGGTACAAGCTGGCCCCAAGTGCCGTCTATCGGATGACAAAGAAGGACGAAAATGTGAAGGCGTATCCGGATAGCCTTTTCCTGGCACACTTCCAGAAGGGAACGGTGACGCTCAACGCGCTGAAGCCCATCCGCTCCATCGATTCCATCATCGTCCGCTGAGAGCCATACCGTGGCGGCCATCGTGATGTGACTCAGTGCCAACGGTGTCTGAACTTTGGACACGGCACCCGTAACTGCAACATTAAGCCACGCTGTGGCAATTGCGCTCAAGACCACGCCACTTCCGACTGCCCTGCGGATGGAACCGTGGAGTTAAAATGCGCCAACTGTGGTGGTGCTCACCAAGGTTCCGACAGACAGGGCTCCAAACGCGAGGACTTCAAACGCATCCGAAAACAGGCGGCAACTAACAACCAACCAGGACGCAAGAAGGACAAAGTCCCGGCATTTCGGACGGAGGATTTCCCGCCTCTTCGTGCTCCTCAGCAAAGGCAAGCGAATTCGCAGGTGCAACCCGCCCCCCCTCAAGAATCTTCCGGTGATTCTGCAGGCCAAAGCTCTCCATCCCCCCTGGACTCTGGAGACAACCAACAGCGCAAAACAACAACCCCGATCTGTTCTCAGCGGATGAACTGATGGAAATTTTCGTCAACATGTTCGGTGCTCTTCGTAAATGCCGCAATAAGCCCGAACAGATCCAAGTGCTCGGTTAGTTCATCATCCAGTATGGCGTCTAAACCGCTAACTATCGTGACCTGGAATGCTTGCTCTGTAAGAGCAAAAAAGATTGAGCTTGCCGACTTCCTCCGCAAGCACAGCATCGACGTGGGCCTTCTAACCGAGACCCATCTTAAGTCCGGCGACAGCTTCTGGTTGCCTGACCACAACATTATCCGGCTTGATCGCCCCAGCTCCAGGGGGGGTGGTGTAGCGGTCATCGTCAGAAAGGGAATCAAGTTCTGCACTCTGCCCCACATCCGCACTTCTATCATCGAAGCCATTAGTGTGGAGGTGGAATCACCAACTGGAAACGTCCGGTTCATCGCTGTTTACTGCCCAAGCCAGTGCACCGCCATCAATGGACTAGGAACTAAATTCAAGAACGACCTGACCGCCATCACCCGTACTAGCTCCCGATTCATCGTTGGGGGTGACCTGAATGCCCGTCATGAAGCTTGGCGGAATTACCAGCGGAACCGGAATGGATGTCTATTGTTCGACCACGCACAACATGGACTGTACACTGTGCCGTTTCCGGACGAACCAACTTTTATCTCTCCGGCGGGAAATCCGTCCACCCTGGACTTTTTCCTCTCAAACATCGTACTATCCAAGCCGGAGGCGCACAACGATCTCAGCTCCGACCACCAACTGAAGTCGGTGTCAACGTGGTTCCTGCTAGAAGCTGCCTGCGTAAAGACTACCACCATGTCAACTGGGTGCAGTACGGACGAATGGTGGACAGCAACATCGATGAAAATCCACTGCTCGACACTGTAGATGACATCGACCGGGCGTTGGAAGGACTCCAACAGGCCATATCCGTGGCTGACGAGGCGTGTGTTCGACAAGTTCCTGTGAGGGGTTTGTTGCTATTGATTCCCACACCCAATTATTGATTCGGTTAAGAAATGTTCGTAGACGCCAGTTTCAGAGGACTGGAGATCTGGGCAAAAAACGTGAAATGACCGATCTGAACAGGCAGATTGCTTCCAGAATGGACTCACTCCGAAATGAAAGTTTCGGGCGTGTTGTCCAGAATCTGGACGACCGCTCCAGACCATTTTGGAAGGTAGCCAAGGTCCTGAAAAATCATCTCAAACCCGTTCCACCTCTCAAAGTCGATAATGATGACGATCGGCTTTTAATCACCCCACAGGAGAAAGCAAATGCGATCGGCAAGCATGTCGCTTCATCGCATTTGCTTGGCTCGACTATCCAAAGTCCGCTCGAAGATCAGGTTGCGCAATGCGTTCAAAACCTAGATGCCTCCCCTTGTGTCGTGCCTCCGGCGGATATGATCACAGTACAACAGATTTGCTCAGCGCTGAAATGCACCAAGAACATGAAAGCTTCTTGAACTTGAATCTTGATCTTGAAGAGACTCAGCATGAAAGTGCAGTCTCTTCTAACCGCTATCTTCAACAGATGTTTGGAACTGCACTACTTTCCAAGCATCTGGAAAATAGCAAAAATCATACCAATCCGCAAACCCGGTAAAGATCCAACATTGTCTTCAAGCTACAGACCAATCAGCCTCCTTTCAGCGCTGAGCAAATTGTTCGAGAAACTCATTCTCAATCGTTTGCTCAAGTTTGTCGAGGAAAATAACATTCTCCTTCCGGAACAGTTTGGATTCAGAAAGGGGCACCAAGCATCAGCTAGTACGGGTGATGAATAACATCCGAAGTAACAAAGCTGTATCCAAGTCCACAGCCATGGCCTTGTTAGACGTTGAAAAGTCGTTTGACAATGTTTGGCATGACGGACTTGTGTACAAGCTTTGTAACTTCAACTTCCCATTACATCTGGTTAAAATCACCCGTAACTACACAGCAAAAAAAAAATGTAATATCGATCAACGTAATTCAAGCTGATGTATGAAATAATGCTGTAATAGCAAAAAGCAGATACAATATTACATCAATGGATGTAATTTTGTTCGCAAAATCGATGTACATCGTACAATGTGATATTACACAACCGATGGATTGACCTGGTTGCAGCAGTTTCGATGTAATATTCAACAACTTTTTTTGCTGTGTACCTTCAGCAAAGGTCGTTTAAGGTATCGTTGAATGGTTGTCTTTCAGACACGTTTTCCATCCCAGCAGGAGTGCGGCAAGGCAGTCTGCTGGGTCCCTTGCTTTACAGCATTTATACTTCCGACATTCCTCCCCTTGGAGACGGTTGCGTGTTCTTCCTGTTCGCAGATGATACCGCAATAGCCGTCAAAGGAAGGATGCCTCGCGAAATAACGAACAAACTTCAACGATGCCTTAACGCCTTTGCTGATTATGCCACCACGTGGAAAATTAAAATCAATCCCTCCAAAACACAAGCGATCAATCGCCCAAACTGAAACCGGCTCCATCTTGTACTGTAATCATGGATGGCACAAGGGTTGAGTGGTCCGCCGAAGTAACCTATCTCGGGATGTTGTTCGATGAAAAGCTCCTCTTCCGTTCGCATGTAGAGAAAACTGTAGTCAAGTGTTCTACCTTGGTTAGGTGTCTGTATCCGCTGATTTGCCGCAGATCCCGCCTCTCAAGGGTGAACAAACTGGCCGTCTACAAACAAATCATAGCACCTGCGATCCTCTACGCAGCTCCGGTGTGGGAATCATGTGCACAGACTCACAGGAACAAAATTCAGGTCGCTCAGAATAGTGTGCTGAGGATGGTTCTTGATCGTCCTTTCGATACTAGAATAACAAATTTACATGAAGAGGCAGGCATTGCCAAAATAGATTCCAAAATTAACGAAATTAAGACTAAATTTGCAAAAAAATGTAATTTATCAGAAC